TTCACCATAAACAGCCAAAATTAAAATTGTATAACAAACCTTTGCAATTTAATTTTGAAAATGCAAAACCGAGTGCTCTAAAATCTTGAAAAATTTTATGGTTAGCGCAGTTTTCTTTTCTTTACTTCAATTTTTCAAATTCTTGATTTTTAATTTTCAGTTTTAGAATTTTACAAATTTTTAATTTTTGAATTTCTCAATTTTTTGATTTTTCAATTTTTTAATTTAGTGTTCTTCAGTTTTTCAAATAATCCTTCTACTTCTCGATTTTTAATTTTACAATTTTTTGATATCACAATTTTTGGTATTTTCTTTTTTTATTTCTTATTTTTAACTTTTCGATTTCTCAATTTTTCGATTTGTAATTTTTTGATATTACAATTTTTTATTTTTTCCATTTTTCCGTTTCTCAATTTTTAATTTTTATATTTTTCAATTTTTCAAGTTCTTGATTTTCATTTTCCATTTTCCCGTTTTTTTTTTTATTTTCATTGTTTTGATTTTACGTCACAATTTTTTCAGTTTTCATTTCCTTTATTTTTTCAATGTTTCTTTAAATTTTGTAATTTTTCGTTTATTCCATTTTTCAAAATTCGAATATTTGATTTTCAATTTGCCGATATTCCAATGTTTAATATTTCCAATTTTGCAATTTTTGGATTTCTCAATTTTTTTCAGTTTTACAATTCTTTGTATTTTCAATTTTGCACTTTCCCATTTTTAAGTTTCTCAATTTTTAATCTTCCGATTTTTCAATTTTTCTGTTCCCCAGTTTTCAAGTTCTTGATTTCCAGCTTTTAGACAATGCAAAGTTTTCTTCTTGTACTTTTTTTTACAGTTTTGTTATTTTTCATTTTTTTGAATCGCAAAGCTAAAAAATCGAAAACCTAAACAAAAAAAAAAAAAAAATTGGAAAAAATTCAAAAATCAGAAAATTGAAAAATTTTAAAATTGCAAAATCGAAAAATTAGAACATCAAAAAATGGCAAATCGAAGAACCGAAGGAATGAAATATTGAAACAGAAAAACTAAGAAGGAGAAACTTAAAAATAAATCCAAAAAATTTATAAATCGAAAAAGGGAAAACATGAAAAAATGCGAGAAAGAAAAATTGTAAAATTGAAGATTATAGAATCGGCAAGGTTTTAAAGTTGAAAAACTGTAACATTGAAAAATTCAAAACCGTAAAATTGAAAAAGTGAACATAGTCTAAAATTATTATTATTATTATTATTACATATTTATATTTTATATCGAAAAATTGGAAACCGAAAAATTGAAAAATCCGCATTGAAAAAAAAAACATTATAAAACCAGAATATTGAAAAACCGTAAAAGTGTAAAAGTAAAAAAAAATAAAAAAATGAAAATTGGAAATCGAAAAATTAAAAAATGAAATCTGGGAATTGTGAATCGAAAAATTGCAAAAACTGAGAATTGAAGGAACAAAAAAAATTAAAAATTGCAAATCGAAAAATTGAAGAAACGAAAAATTGGAAAAACAAAAATTATAAAATCGCAGCATCAAAAAACCGAAAAATTGTAAGTTAAAGAAACCGACACGAAAAGATGTCGAAAATTTTAGGACATGAAAAATTGAAGAATTGAAAAATTTTAAAATTAAAAAAAATAAAAACTCTAGGAATTATGAATCGAAAAATTGCAAAAACTGAAAAATTGACAAACAAAAAAAATTAAAAATTGATAAGATTTAAATCGATAAATCGAAGAAGTAGAAATGAAAGAATTAAAATTGAATAAACAAAAAATTATAAAATCGAAACATTGAAAAATTCGCATTGGAAAAGAGAAACATAAAATCAGAAAATTGCAAATTGGAAATCGAAAAATTGAAGAAATCTATAATAAAAAATTCGAAAAAATGATTAAATAAAAACTGAAAATTCCTGAAATTACAAATCGAATAATTGCAAAATCTAAAAATAGAAACATCCAAAAGTCGGAAAATCGTAAAATTAAAAATTTAAAAATGAAAACTCAAAGTGCAATTATTTAAAAACCGCCATGAAAAAATGCAAATCGAAAATTTTAGCACATGAAAAATTGAAGAATCGAAAAATTGAAAAATTAAAAAAAATGAAAACCCTGGGAATTGTGAATCGAAAATTTGCAAAAACTCAAAAATGAAGAAACACAAAAAAAAATAAAAAATGATAAGATTCAAATCGAAAAATGGAAGAAGCAGAAATGAAAAAATTAAAATCGAAAAAACAAAAAATTATAAAATCAAAACATTGAAAAATTCGCATTGAAAAAAAGAAGCATAAAATCAGAAAGTTGAGAATTGGAAATCGAAAAATTGAAGAAACGAATGATTAAAAAAATCGAAAAATTGAAAAATTAAAAACTGAAAACTCGTGAAATTTCAAATCGAAAAATTACAAAATCTAAAAATAGAAACATCCAAAAGTTAGAAAATCGAAAAAATTAAAAATTTAAAACTGAAAACTCAAAGTGCAATTATTTAAAAACCGCCATAAAAAAATGCAACTCGAAAATTTTAGCACATGAAAAATTGAAGAATCGAAAAATTGGAACATTAAAAAAAAAATAAAAACCCTGGGAATTATGAATCGAAAATTTGCAAAAACTCAAAAATGAAGAAACACAAAAAAAATAAAAAATGATAAGATTCAAATCGAAAAATGGAAGAAGCAGAAATGAAAAAATTAAAATCGAAAAAATAAAAAATTATAAAATCGAAACATTGAAAAATTCGCATTGAAAAACAGAAACATAAAATCAGAAAATTGAGAATTGGAAATCGAAAAAATGAGGAAACGAATGATAAAAAAATCGAAAAATTGAAAAATTAAAAACTGAAAACTCGTGAAATTTCAAATCGAAAAATTGCAAAATCTAAAAATAGAAACATCCAAAAGTTGTAAAATCGAAAAAATTTAAAAATGAAAACTCAAAGTGCAATTATTTAAAAACCGCCATGAAAAAATGCAAATCGGAAATTTTAGCACATGAAAAATCGAAGAATCGAAAAATTGAAAAATTAAAAATAAAAAATGAAAACCTTGGGAATTGTGAATCGAAACACAAAAAAAAATAAAAAATGATAAGATTCAAATCGAAAAATGGAAGAAGCAGAAATCAAAAAGTTAAAATTGAAAAAGCAAAAAATTATAAAGTCGAAACATTGAAAAATTAGTATTGAAAAAAAGAAACATAAGATCAGAAAATTGAGAATTGGAAATCGAAAAATTGAAGAAACGAATGATAAAGAAATCGAAAAATTGAAAAATTAAATAATGAAAATTCCTGAAATTACAAATCGAATAATTGCAAAATCTAAAAATAGAAACATCCAAAAGTTGGAAAATTTTAAGGCATGAAAAACTGAATTATCGAAAAATTGAAAGATTAAAAAAAATAAAACTGGGAATTGTGCATCAAAAAGTTGCAAAATCTTACAATTGAAAAAACAAACAAAAAATTAAAAATTGCAAATCGAAACATTGAAGAAACAACAAATTGAAAAAACAAAAATTGTAAAATCGGAACATCAAAGAATCCAAAAATTGTAAGGTAAAAAAAAAGCCACGAAAAATTGCAAATCGAAAATTTTAGTACATGAATAATTGAAGAATCGAAACACTGAAAAATTAGAAAAAAATGGAAACTATAGGACTTGGGAATCAAAAAATTGGAAAAACTAAGGAATGAGGAAAGAAAAAAAATTGATAAGATTCAAATCGGAGAAGCAGAAATAAAAGACTTAAAATTAAAAAAACAAAAAATCGAAAAAATGTAAAAATAAAGAAAATATAAAACGGAAATAAAAAATCTTACATAAAAAATATATATATATATACTATAAACTGAAAAATTCGGAAGTCGGAAGATTAAAAAACCGAATAATTTAAACTTAAAATTCGAAAAATTGCAAATCGAAAAGCTGACGAAACAAAATAATGGAAACTTTCAAAATTCCAGTTAAAAAGCTGCGGGGATGTGAATAAGGAAGTATTGCAATAGGATCAATTTGACGGATGACTACTTTCATGTTTTCACATTTCATGATCCCTCGATTAGGAAAAAGTACGACTCCCATTTTTTTCTGTCTGTCTGTCGCCTACGAATATGTCAATATTAATTGGACAAAGAATCTCCGAAAATGTTGGACCGATTTTTTCCAAATTTTATAGGTGTATTACAAAAATATCGTCCATATGGTTAAACACTAGCCTTGTCTAATCATCTCCACTAAAAATGTAGTCGCATCAACTCAAAATTTTGCACATTAAATGTATTATTTAATGAACAACTCTGAAGCACCTTGTGTATTCCAACTCTGAAGTAAACATTACTTTATACAGAACGAATTTTTTTTTGACTTGCCGAGAAACATTCATTAAAATTTTTAGATTTTTAAAACTTCAAGACAACATTAAAAATACCAGTTAACGGTGTGGGCCGTATTCACAAAACAGAATTATTTCTCTTTAGTTATATTAAAAGCGAAGGAGGGAATCGGTAACTTATAATTAGATTTAGCGAATTTTCTACCGACACTCTTGATTAGCAAGGGCATCGGGAGTGAACTTCCACCGTAAATACGAACACAAAACAAGACTGTTCTGCTTTATTCTCCACTAATTTAAACGAACTTAAGCTCCCTACTTGCACATCTAGATTTTTTTAATAAACCGGTCTGTAATTAATTTCCTCGCAACTACTAGGCCGTAGGGAAACTTTCCTCGTAAATAAAACGTCTCAAGATCCAGCTTCGCTCCCTTTTTTTTGAAGCTGAACTCGTGTCCCATAATCCCGAATTTATTATTCGTTTTTAATTAAGGTTTTAAAAGAGCTTATGTAAATTACACCTCCATCCTAAAGTAGGTTCGGGCGAGGAAGGGCACATCTATATCAACAGTTATTACATGCTCTTATTTAATTAAATGCAACGGCGGTTCGGTAAACGGCCGAAAATCCGGCTGGATTGCTAAATTGGTTCGTTCCAATTCCAGGTGGCGTGGCTGAGAGTGGACACACAAACTATCCTCACCATCCACGGTCACGTAATTACGAAGAATCATCGCATTGCGGTCACACACAGCGAGCACAGGACATGGTATCTCCATATACGAGACGTCCGGGAGTCGGATAGGGGCTGGTATATGTGCCAGATCAACACCGATCCCATGAAAAGCCAAATTGGATATCTGGATGTCGTCGGTAAGTCACGGGCCAGTCAGCCAGAAGCGAAAGGATTTAACAAAACGTTTACAATGTAATAGCCGTCGAAGGGCGGCGGTGACATAGGGGTAGATTTTACATTTTTCTGGACATGGCTACATTTACCAGAATAAAAAGGGATGCGGGTAGGTGCTCGAGGTGACCTGCTTTTTTCTACTTTTTAATTTCATTCCTACCCGTATTCGTTTGGTGTAATCCCTCAGAATCTAGCTAGACCTTCAACCCGACAGCTGTAAGTTTGTTAGAATCTGAATTCTCCAGAACTATTTTAAGTTCAAAAGACTGATGACGTAACCACGGAAAATTCTTAAAAATATGTCCGACGAACATAACACAGTTATATTGTTGTTATATTCGCATTACGTAACATGTCTAAGTGGCATTATGTTGCAATTTTGTATACACTCTCCTTCATTATGAACTTTTCGACGCGTTTTAGACCGAAAATTACCTCTAAAATTTTTTATGAATTTCGACTTCTAAAAGTTCCGTTCGACCTCATTTATTCAAAAATCAAAAACTCTCCTATTTTTCCAGAGTCGCTCCCCACTTATGACAATTTCAACCTTTTTTCGACCACATTTTTCAACCTCTTTCGATCCTTGACTAAAAACATTTTGTTGTGGATTTCGACGTCCAGAAGCTACTTTCCGCTTTATTTCTTCGAAAACTCCGATCATTTCTCAAGAACCGACGAAAGAAATATGAAAATTTTTAGGCACTAAAAAACATTAACCTTCAAAAACTTCCAAAATGCTATCCCCCTTACGAAAAATTCGACTTTTGTTGGACTATTTTCGAAAAATATCTAAAAAGATTCTTTTATTTATTTCGACCTACAGAGATAATTTGGGCCTACTCTCTTCGAAAACCCCAAAAATTCCTAATGAAATACAGCAATTTTTAATATTTTTTCAAAATATCGAGGTCTCTATTCCAGAATTTTTATTGATTTTTAGACAATAATTAATTATTACTTCAAAAGCTGAAATTCGCCTTTTTTCTACCTTCGAACGGACTCCAAAATTTTCGTTGGCCTCATTTCTTCGAAGATTCTTCTTGATTTTCAAAGCGAATATTTCCAAAATCCTAGATTTATATTCCAGAATTTTTGTGGACTTTTCGCGACCTTCGAAAATTATCTAAAAAGAGTTTTTTTGTCCAGAAGATGCTTTCGTCCTCCTTTCGTCAAAAAAACTTTACTTCAAAACAAGTGTTTCTAAAAACTTGCTCCGGGTCCATCACCCGCTATATATTTCAAATGAGTATGTTGAGATCTATATCCCTAAATTTTGTATGAATTTTTTGGAAACTTTCTCAAGAGCTTCGTTTTTCAGTACTCCACTTCTAACTTTGTATTAAGTCTTAGATCCTACTGTGTCTCAAAATAGAATCCAATTCCCATTTCACAGTAAATAAAAGAGTCAGTGAAATGGAGAATAGAGATGGCTGGGTTTAGTTTTTTCTACACCCCTCCTTCATTCTAGTGAATACTCTTGATATTTTTCAGTCTTATTTTAGCAAATACAAGCTCCGCCCACCCGCCCTTTATTTTCTTAAAGGGTATATCATTTGCCAAAATTAGTTTTATCTTTACAAGAATTAGCCCCACCCACCCGCCCTCTATTTTCTTAGGGAATATTTCATTTGCCAAAATCAGTCTTATCTTGCCAAGTACTAGCCCTGCTCACATGTCCTCTATTTTTTTGAAGGTGGGTGGGCGAGTCTAGAATTTACTAAGATAAGCCTGATTTTGGTTGATAACATACGCTACAAGAAAACAAAGGGTGGTTGGGCGGGGCTAGTACATGTTAAGGTAATACTGATTTTGGGGAATAACATACCCCCGAAGAAAAAAGAGGGCGGGTGGGCGGGGCTAATACCTACTAAGATAAGACTGATTTTGGTAAATGATATACCCTTCCAATTTCTTAGAAGTCATCATTTCCCAAAATCAGTCCTATCTTAGCAAGTACAAGTACCGCCCACCCGCCCTCTATTTCTTAAAGGATATATCATTTACCAAAACCAGTCTTAGCTTTACAAGTACTAGCCCCACCCACCCGCCTGATATTGTCTTAGAGGATACATCATTTGCCAAAGTCAGTCGTATCTTAGGAAATATTAAACTCCGCCCATCCCCACTTTATTTTTCTTTAAAGGGTATATCATTTACCAAAATCAGTCTTACCTTAGCAAGTACAAGCTCCGCCCATCCGCCCTCTATTTTCTTAAAGGTTATGCCATTTGACAAAATCAGCCTTGTCCTAGCAAGGATTAGCCCCGCCTACCCATATTTTATTTTCTTAGAGAGTACGTTCTTTGCCAAAATGAAAATTTGGACCTTTATTTGAGCATCCTCGTAAATGAGTTAAAGAGATTTGTTCGTATATTTAGACCTCCAGACGATACTTCGACTTCATTTCTTCGAAAGCTACTATCATTTTTCTAAAATCTTCCAATGATATTTGGTAATTTTTAAGATTTAATGGAAATTGGATTACAAACCGAATATTTTTTAATCTTACTTCGGAACCATAAGTACGCTAATTTTTTGCATCGGTACATCCACTAGTCGATATTCCAAAAATTTTTATTGATTTTTGGGCAATAATTATTTCAAATGCTGAATTTTTCAATGCTCCCCTCTCATGAACATTTCGACACTTTTTTGACCACCTTCGAAATTTAGGTAATGGGATTCTTTGTAGATTTCGATTTCTAAAAAATCATTTTTCCAAAGTCGTCTAATTAAATATGTCAATTTTTAGAATTCAAGGAAAATTGAATTACAAACGGAAAATGTTTTTAATTGGTATGTCGAGATCTAAGTACATTTCAGAATTTCTTATTGATTTTTGGGCAATAATTATTTCAATGATCACCCTCATGAAAATTTCGACTTTTTTTGATCACCTTCGAAATTTAGTTCTTTGGATTCTTTTGTAGATTTCCACCTCTAAAAGTTATTGTCGGCTTCTTTTCTTCTAAGACCAATTGTCATTTCTCAAGAATCGCCTAATGAAGTATGGCAATTTTTAACGTTTGAAGAATTTCCAAAATCCTACTTTGGTTCTACAAACACCCTATATTTTTGGATTCAGTACGTCCAAATTTATATCCGAGAATTTGTGGTGATTTTTAGGCAACTTCTTCAAAAGCAAAATTTTTCAAAAATTTTGACTTTTTACTTCCCGAGCGTAAGCAAAGGAAGTATTGTAATCGAGTCCGTCGGCCGACTCTCTACTTTTACGTTTTCTCGATCTTTCATGACTCCTAGAATACGAAGAAATAGGTCTCCCATTTCCGTCTGTCTGTCCGTCTGTCTGTCCGTCTGTCCGTCTGTCCGTCTGTCCGTCTGTCCGTCTGTCCGTCTGTCCGTCTATCCGTCTGTCCGTCTGCCGTCCCGGATTTTTATTAGACAGATAATCTCCGAAAGTACTGGACCGATTGTTGTGAAATTTTGTACTTATATTAGGAATATCATGTAGATGGTAAAACGCTAACCAAAATTTGTCTAATCATCCCCACCACTAATGCGATGACGTCACTTCAAAATTGTACATAGTAAATGGTTCTTAAATTGTATAAAATAACATAGTCCTACACATGTAGTTTACGACTCCGAATTCAGTTTTTACCCGAAACGTCCAGATTTTTGGAAAAAAAAATCAAAATTTTAAACAACATTTTGAAATTTAATTTTTAATCTGCTAACCAGAATGCTTTGAAATGTTGCAGATGTTTTAAGGCTATAGAGAGCAACATAAATCTTTAGTCAAAAAATATTTGCTTATCCCCTCCAAAAACTTGATGACGTCAGCTCAAAAGTTTGTGGAATAAATCATATCTAAAATGTACAAAATATGATGAGTCTGTACTTGTGATCTATCACTCCATTCATATTTTTTGGATTTGCATATCCAGGGTGACTCAAAAAAATTAATGAATGCGTAAATTTATTTTACTGATTTACTCAGAAACTACAAAACCGAATGCTTTGAAATCTTGCAGATGTTTTAAGGTTATAAAAAGCATAATAAATGTTTAGTCAAAATATATTTGCTTATCCCCTCCAAAAAATTGATGACGTCAGCTCGAAAGTTTGCCGAATAAATCCTATCTAAACTGTAAAAATATGATGAGTCTGTACTTGTAATTTATCACTCCATTCATATTTTTTGGATTTGCATATACAGGGTGACACAAAAAAATTAATGAATGTGTAAATATATTTAATTGATTTAATCCGAATGCTCTGAAATCTTGCAGATGTTTTAAGGTCATAAAGAGCATAATAAATGTTTAGTCAAAATATATTTGGTTATCTTCTACAAAAAACTGATGACGTCAGCTCAAAAGTTTGCCGAATATATCGTATCTAAAATGTACAAAATATGATGGGTCTGTACTTGTGATTTATCATTCCATTCATATTTTTGGATTTGCATATGCAGGGTGACTCAAAAAAATTAATGAAGGCGTGAATTTATTTTATCGATTTAATCAGGAATTACAAAACCGAATGCTTTGAAATCTTGGGAATATTTTAAAGTTATTATAAGCGTAAACTTTTGTTCAAAGTGTATTTGTTCATCCCTACTACAAAAAATATGATGAGTTTGTACTTGTGATTTATCATTCCATTCATATTTTTTAGATTTTCTTAAGAGGTGGTTCAAAAAAATTAATGAAGTCAATTTATTTTATTGATTAAATTAAAGGCAACACTTATTATTAGTATTACACCCCAACCAACCCAATTTGGTAGACACAAAATTTGTTAAAGGAAAAACTCGGTTGAAACATAAGGGTAGCACGCTTATTTACATCGACTTTAACATTACAGACCTGCATTTGTTTTATGCGCTCACTTGGTTCCGCGAATGTGGAATAGACATGTTTATAATCAACCAATTGTGAATTTCACCGTCAAGAATTAAAATAAAACCCAATGTTTTATATAATAAGCGGAAGTC